AGGGTAATTGTAAAGAATTACAATTCTTTTGTAATTTTCAATTGTAACAAGTAAGATATATAAAATCATCCAGTACAAGACTATACTTAAACACTCAATGTTCATTCCTTCCTCTTTTCCTATCTTCATTACTTCCTTCATAACAGGGTTTTTGAAGTCAGGAGAAAAAAATAATAAGGAAATATGAGTATGAAAATCAAATAATTATTTAAGAAACAGCAAAGAAAATTGCTTATATAAAGATTACTTCATATTTCTCAAATTATGACATTTATTCTGACTGATAAGTAAATTTGGCCAATATACTCCCTAGTCACCAAGCTGTCCTACTCACTCTGAAAGCTCTATATGCCAGAGCACAATGATTCCACTCTTGGAAGTATCGTGTGTAAAAGCAGGATAAGAAAGGAAGAAAGAGAGGAAGTGTGAGGAAGAAAAGGAAGGGAAAAGAAAGGGAAGGGAAGGGCAGGGGAGAGGAGAGGAGTGGAGGGGAGGCAAGGCAACAAACAGAATCTGAAAGGATTTAAAACCGGCTATGGTTAGGCTAGTAAGTGCATGTTAAGAAGAAAATATTTCCTGAATTAGATGTGTCCATATCTAATTTAAAATAATAAGGTTTGCAATGACAGTCACCTAAGACCACAAGAACTCCAGAGCAGCAAATTTTTTGCAGATAGAGTTCACATCATTAGTTTATCTGTGTTACTAGGGTGAATTACACGTTGACAGCTTTTTCATTCTATAGGTAACCCAGGCCTGCAGGGAAGATATGGTCATCCCTCAGTGTCCTGGGGGATTGGTTCGTGGATATCCTCCCTCTCCCCCTACCCCACCCCGTGGCTGCAGATAATAAATTTCCCAGATGCTCAAGTCCCTTATATAAAGTGGCATAGTATTTGCATGTAACCTACGCACATCCTCCCATATACTTTAAATCTAGATTACTTATAATACCTAATACAGTGTAAATGCTAGGTAAATAATTGTAAATACAATGTAAGTGTTATGTAAATAGTTGCTGGAGCTTGGCAAATTCAAGTTTTGCTTTCTGGAACTTTCTGAAATTTTTTTTCCAAATATTTTTCCATCTGCAGTTGGTTGAATCTGCAGATGTGGAACCCACAGATTTGGAGGGTCTGTTGTATATGAGCAATCCTTTATTCTTTGGTGTGAAGACATGTGGTCTGAATAAATGTGGAGGCTTGCCTGTTACACACAGAATTTACAGGGCTAGAATGCACTTCTGAGCTTGACAAGCAGTTTAAATTCAATAAATACTCGTTACACGCGTACAATATGCCCCAAACAGTACTGGAACATAGTAATAGCATGCTAATAGCAAAAATAACAATAATGATGATGATTTTGATAAATAATAGTTATTCAGTACATAAATATGTGCCAGGAACTGTGCTAAATGCTTCTGTGGGGTTTTTTAAATACTTATTTATTTATTTATTTAGCTGTGCCAGGTCTTAGTTGAGGCACGAGGGATCTTCTTTGCCGCCTGCGGGATCTCTAGTTGCAGCATGCGGGATGAGGGATCTTTTAGTTGCAGCATGCAGAATCTAGTTTGAACGTGGGCTCCTTGCATTGGGAGTGCAGAGTCTTAACCACTGGACCACCAGGAAAGTCCCTCTTCTGTATTGTGTTTTTGTTTTGTCTTGTTTTGTTTTTTTCAACCATGCTGCACGACTTGAGGGGTCTCAGCTCCCCGAGCAGGGATTGCATCCAGGCCGCAGCAGTAAAAGCCCAGAATCCTAACCACTAGGCCACCAGGGAACTCCCTTCTGTGTTCGTTACTTCATGTAAGGCTCCCAATAACTGTATAAATTAGATACAATTATTATCTTTATTTTATTCATGAACAAACTAAGATTATGAATGTGATGTAACATGGCCAAGGTTACCATCTAGTAAGTGGAGATGTCAGTACATCCAGTTAGCTCCATACCCAGAGTTTTTAATGACTACAATATATCGCACTATACAATATTGTCTATTTTCTTTCTTCCTGTAGGAGGCTGAAGAAGAAAAAGACAGGAAAATCTTAAGGTGAGAATAGATAGTTAAGAGATATCAGAGGGACGGACTTCCCTGGTGGTGCAGTGGTTAAGAATCTGCCTGTCGATGCAGGGGACAAGGTTTGATCCCTGGTCCAGGAAGATCCTACATGCCATGGAGCAACTAAGCCTATGTGCCACAACTACTGAAGCCAGTGCACCTAGATCCCATGCTCTGCAACAAGAGAAGCCACCGCAATGAGAAGCCCGCGCACCACAACAAAGAGTAGCCCCCGCTTGCCAGAGCTAGAGAAAAGCCTGTGCGCAGCAACGAAAACCCAAAGCAGACAAAAATTAATTAATTTAAAAAAAAGACTCTTACAAATTATTAAAAAAAGAAGAGAGAGAGAGATATCAGAGGGTCTTCCCTGGCAGTCCAACAGTTAAGACTCTGTGCTCCCAATGCAGGGGGCACAGGTTCAATCCCTGATCAGGGAACTAAGATCTCACATGCCCCATGGCACGGCCAAAAAACACAGACACACACACACACACATATATATCATATATATGAGATACATATTTATAAGTTGTGTGCCTCTCAATTTTTATTTTAATAATGATTATAATTTACATAGTGTTGTGTGCCAGGCACTACTCTAAGTGCAAGTATTCACTTGTTATTGTCATGACAGCTCCTAGAGGCAGATACTATTAATATCTCCCTTTTATAGATGAGAGGAACCTGAAGCACATCATCTAAAGTTAATCACCTTTGGAAAAGATTAGGTCATGTTGTCACTAGCGTGGGTAAGGTGAAGGTTAAAAATAATATGTTATGAGGAATAGCATCTGCAAGGACTGTAAATATGGAAAACAGATTGCTACTGTTGAAGGCAAAATAAAGCAAGCACTGATGAAAACTGGGGCCAGGCATGAGAGTAAAGAAACATCAAGAAATTTTTAAAATATGATCCAAGGACAAAAGAACCACAGGAAGTAAAGTGCAACCTTATATTAATCATTCAAATGAACATGGCCTTGGAGCTGAAAATAAACAGAACCAAGCCTAAAACAAATTAATTTATGGACAAGTAAGATTCTGAATTTTCATAACACTATACCTCTCCTTTGGAACTCATCACAGTCTATCTTGTATTACAGATGTCACATACATGCTATATCTCCCCTACCAAAAATTTAATTCCCTGATGGCAGGATATATGTAGGTCATCTTTTACAACAGAGTGTGCCTAGTATAGTTTTTTGACCAAGGAGTTGCTTTAAAAACTAGCATTTGTTACATAAATAAAGATGACAACCAAATTCAAATCATAGTACTATAAAGTCAATTTTGTTGAAAGCTTCATCGTTATAACGTAAAAACGTGAAATATTAAAGTGAAAATGTGACCCAGTGCAGAGCAGAAAATCAAATTCAGGTCATCTGGTTCCAAGGCTGATTGGAGAGGTAGAGAGAAAAAGATTTTTAAGAAATATAGGACTCTTGGATTCTATGCGAAGGAACTCTTCCAAGGATTTCAACTCACAACACCTGTTGAGTCAAATTCAAACTGAACTTTAAATAAGGTCAGTTTGCAAAGAAGTATGGAAAAACTGAAAGGGTCACTTTGTAATGTGGAAAAAGTTGGTCTGGATCATAAAATAGAATTAGCAGAATGTATGTCGTTTCGACTTAAGGTAGATAATATGATCTTTGGCGTCCTCTAGTGGATTGATTTTTAGATTCTTTTTTGCCCTAGACGCTGAAAAGATCTGAAACTGAAAATCAACATTTTAACTACAAATAAAAGAAATAGGTTTATATTTTGTATTATACTTACTTACATTTTATTACATTTGTATATATTTTATTATATTTTACATTTAGTAAAATTTTTCTACTCTACAAGCAAAGAGGAAAAACAGTATTTTTTTTAAGGCATAATCTACTCCCACTCCAGCCCTCCCCAAAAGCAAAGAAATTCTGGGCCTATTAAGTTAATTAAATGTAATTTAAATTTACTAATTTAATCAAAACTAATGAAAAGGTATACTCTCCCTCATTTGCTTAAAAAATCCTGTAACATTTTTGCTTGAATTAACTTGCTATCAGTTTTTAAGTGCTTGGGCACTCTTTTCATTTTAATGTTTCATGGGAAAACGAAGTTTTTCAGTAGAAAATCTTGGAAATGACGAAGTCAGAAATGTGCTTGACGGATGGGGAAAGGATAAATAAATGTCCACTAGAACTTGTTTTTGAAAACCACTTGCAACGTTTCCTTAATAGTTAACTCAACTTGTTCTTTTTTTAACATAATTTCACATTTAGAGAAAGGTTGCAAGAATCATACAAAGATTTCTAGGATACCTTTTCCTTGGATTCCCCAAATATTAACATTTTACTACATTTGTTTATTTGCCTTATTCTCTCTCTTGTTTACATTTTTTTCTGGATTGTTTAAAAGTAAGTTCAGACATGACGTCCCTTTCAATACTTCATTGTGTTTTTTCTAGCACATAACCACAGTACTAATTATCAAAATCAGGAAATTATCACTAATACAGTGCTATTTTTTATCTATATACCTTATCCATATCTCACTCGCTGTCTCAATAATATCCCTTTTAGCAAAAGAAAATCCAAGATTATGCGAGGGATTCAGTTGCCATGTCTTTTTAGTCTCCTTTAAACTGGAACCATTCCTTGGTCTTCCTTTGAATTTCATGATGCTAACATTTTTGAAGAGTGCAGGCCAATTATTTTGTAGAATGCCCCTCAATTTGAGTTTGTCTGATGTTTGCTCGTGGGTAGATTCAGGTTATGCACTTGTCGACTGAAAAAAAATGTACAGCCTAAAAGTTAAGAATTATGTTTTATTCAGTAGATTTTCTGAGGACGTAAGCCCAGAAGACAGCCTCTCAGATAACTCTGAGGGACTATTCCCAAGAAGCAAGGGAGGAGCCAGGATGTATAGGTTGTTTTGCAACAAAAACCAGGTAGTCGGAACATCAAAAGATTATTGTTAATTAAAGAAAAATGATATATCTCAAGTTAATGAATTTAGTGCTTTTCTAAGTATGGGAAGGTGCAAGAGTCCAGACTTATTGAAATCATCCCTTTGAAATGCACCTTAACTATCTAGAGCCAGTATCCTGCCTTTTTCCATCCTGAATGCCCTCAGTGTGCACAGTCGGGGGTGGCTGCAGGGGCTATGGCTTGATGGCCACAACATTCTTTGTTTACTGATATGGTAGGTGACATTCTTCATCCACAAACTTTTAGCAAAAAATACCTAAGAGGTGACACTTTCTTCGCAGCATATTCTAGAAGGAAGCAGAAGCTGTCGATTCGTCCCATTATTGGCAATGTTAATTATTTGGTTATTTCTCGACTAGTAATTATTTTATAATAACGTTATAATGACATGTATCCTGCAGGTAGATACTTTGAGATGATATAAATAAACTACTCTCCTCAAACTTACACCCATATTTTTACCATCCATTGGTGATTCTTGCCTGAATCAATTATTATTATAGTGATTACAAAATGGTAATCACTACTTCACTATACCTTTTACATTTATTAATTGACTTTCTACAGTAAAGAGCTTTTCCCTCTCCCCATTTATTTGTCGTTGTTGGTTTGTAATTTATATCAACATGGAGTCATGGTTTCTTTCTTTATTCTATAGTTTATCATTGTTTTCTATCAGTGTTTGTTTGTTTTCATGCTTAAACTATCCCAGATTTGGCCAACTGAAGCTCTTTCAAGCTGGCGCCTGAACATTTTTCACATGCTCCATCATTCTCTGGGCATTTCCTGACTTTGCAGCACAACAGCTGTTCCAAGGACATATTGTATTTTGCTTTCCCCAGCCTTGAGATCACCCATTTCTCCAGTTAGGTCTGGTTCCTTCTGATAGAGAATGATACTTAGAAAACAAGATCTGGGTGCTGGAGTGCTGGGTGTGCTCATTGCTACTCAGACGTCATTATTCCTAGGCTCTCTCCACAGGCAGAGCTGGAATAAATGTATTTATGTGTACACACGCGCGCGCGCACACACACACACACACACACACACACATAAATTACCCTTACTCTTTTTTTACAATTGTACAGCACCCCATTGTGTGGCCAACTGTAGTTTATTCAGTTACTATTCAATGAATTGTTATTTAGATTATTTTCAATGTTTTTCAGTTATAAGCAATGCATCAATGGTTAATCTTGTGCATATGTATTTTCATATAATGGAAGTAGGGGTGTATCTTCAGGGTAAATTCCTGAATGTCAGATTGCTGAGTCAAAGGTAAATGCATATGTAGTTATGCTAGTTATTGCCAAATTCCCCTCCTTAATGGTTGTACCAATTTGCATTCCCATTAGCAATGTATTAGTCCCTGCTTCCCTACAGCCTTACCATGAAAGTGTGCTACTATTTTTTTTTAAATTTTGCCAATCTTGATAGTAGAAGATGGCATATCATTGTAGCCTTAATTGGTTGGCACTGCTCTCATAAGTGAGGTTGAACGTCTTTTCATATGATTAAGGGCCACTGTTATATCTTTTCTGTGAACTGTCTGTTCACGTTTTATGACCATTTTAATGAGATTTTGTCTCAAAAATAAAATCTAAATTTGTATTTTGAGGGTATATTCTAAATACCAGACACAGTTTTATGTGCTGAGGATATAACAATAAAATCACTTGCAAAATCACTCGCAAAAAGTTTACTCAGCATAATAGTATCTGAAATTGAAATACAAACAAGGTTTAAATCTTTGGTTGATGATTGTGCTGCAAGGTTGAAATAATTGCAAAAGAAATCCAAAATCCTACAGATCCATTCACATTACCCAAACATATTTTAAGTAAAAATCCACTTATAACTTTTTGTAGAAATGCCAAAAGAATATCAAGATACTTAGCAGTTGCTTTGGGCAACAACATGTTAGAACGTTAGCAGAATAAAGAAGAGAAAACTTTCAAGAAAACTTGCAAATACTGTTTGAAAATAAGCAACATCACTTTTTAAAAAATTTTCTTATACAGTTATACATCTTCAGGATGATCCATTTAGAAGATGACTCTGGACAGACAGAAGGTTTCTCTCAATGTGTAACACACTGCAGTTTTCCACAATGGTGGCATCAAGCCTTTTATAACTTTTTCACCTTCACCTGCCTCTTCATCATCCCTCTTCTCATCATGTTGATCTGCAATGCAAAAATCATCTTCACCCTGACAAGCGTCCTTCATCAGGATCCCCACAGTATGTATTCCTTAGATTTGGTGTTAATTGGGGGTAGACAGCTTTTAACAGCAATACTCAAAGCACAGAAGCAGAGTGGCACTTACGATGCGCTAGATACTGTTCTAAGCAGTTTACGTATATTAATTAACTTTTAATATTCAGAATCAACCCATGAGGCAATACTTTTATTATCCCCAATTTAGATATGAGGTAATTTAATACTCCCAATATTATAAATTTGCAGCATGAAATTAAAAATGAAAGGACAGTTACTCCAATTACCCGATAGAAGCATTGGCAACTTGTTCCTGCTGGTCCATCACAAAGCTCTATCAAACACCTAATGTCTAGAATGTAGCAAAGTACAACTCGTTAAATGGTAGCCAATAGACTTGTTAAAGTTAAGCTTTTCTGTATCACATTCAAATCTCCTGTACCCACAAAATGTATCCACACACTATGCACATTTGTGTGTTGAGTATGCGAACTTGAACGTGTAATTGACTATTTCACCTTTAACTTCACAGATGCAGTTGTGCCTTTTTGCTTTAAGAATCTGGTGCATTCTCAAATACTAAAATTTATGAATTTTTAAAATTTTATATTGTAGTATAGTTGATTAACAATGCTGTGTTAGTTTCAGATGTACAGCAAAGTGATTCAGTTATACATATACATGTATCTATTCTTTTTCAAATTCTTTTCCCATTTAGGTTATTACAGAGTATTGAGCACAGTTCCCTGTGCTATATAGCAGGTCCTTGTTGGTTATCTATCTTGTTTGTTTTTAATTGGGGTATAGTTGCTTTACAATGTTGTGTTAATTTCTGCGGTACAGTGAAGTGAATTAGCAATATGTATACATATATCCTCTCTTTTTTGGATTTCCTTCCCATTTAGGATAACACAGAGCATTGAGTAGAGTTCCCTGTGCTACACAGCAGGTTCTCATTAGTTATCTACTTTATACATATTAGTGTACATATGTCAATCCCAGTCTCCCAATTCATTTCACCTTGGTGTCCATACATTTCTTCTGTACAGCTGGGTCTCTATTTCTGCCTTGCAAATAGGTTCATCTGCACCATCTTTCTAGATTCCACATATATGCATTAATATACAATATTTGTTTTTCTTTTTCTGACTTACTTTACTCTGTATGACAGTCTCTAGGTCCATCCATGTCTCTGCAAATGATCCAATTTCATTCCTTTTTATGGCTGAGTAATATTCCATTGTATATATATATACTACATCTTCTTTATCCATTCATCTGTCAATGGACATTTAGGCTGCTTTCAAGCCCTGGCTATTATAAATAGTGCTGCAATAAACATTGGGGTGCTTGTGTCTTTTTAAATTATGGCTTTCTCAGGGTATATGCCCAGTAGTGGGATTGCTGGGTCACATGGTACTTCTATTTTTAGTTTTTAAGGAACCTCCACTGTTCTCCATAGTGGCTCTATCAATTTACATTCCCACCAATAGTGCAAGGGGGTTCCCTTTTCTCCACGCCCTCTCCAGCACTTATTGTTTGTAGATTTTTTTGATGATGGCAATTCTGACCAATGTGAGATGATACCTCACTGTAGTTTTGATTAGCATTTCTCTAATAATTAGTGATATTGAGCATCTTTTTCATGTGCCTCTTGGTCATCTGTATGTCTTCTTTGGAGAAATGTCTGTTTGGGTCTTCCTCTCATTTTTTGATTGGGTTGTTCGTTTTCTGATATTGAGCTGCATGAGCTGTTTGTATATTTTGGAGATTAATCCCTTGTCAGTTGCTTCGTTTGCAAATATTCTCTCCCATTCTGAGGGTTGTCTTTTGGTCTTGTCTATTGTTTCCTTTGCTGGGCAAAAGCTTTTAAGTTTCATTAGGTCCCATTTGTATATGTTTGTTTTTATTTTCACTACTCTAGGAGGTGGGCCAAAAAAGATCTTGCTGTAATTTATGTCAAAGAGTGTTCTTCCTAATTTTCCTCTAAGAGGTTTATATTGTCCACTCACATTTAGGTCTTTAATCCATTTTGAATTTATTTTTGTGTATGGTGTTAGGGAATATCTATTTTAAATATAGCAGTGTGTACATGTCAATCCCAAACTCCCAGTCTATCCCTTCCCCCTACCCTTCCACTATGATAACCATAAGGTTGTTCTCTAAGTTTGTGAGTCTGTTTCTATTTTGTAAATAACTTCAATTGTTTCAGGTTTTTTTAGAATCCACATATAAGCAATATCATATGATATTTGTCTTTCTCTGTCTGACTTACTTCACTTAGTATGATAATCTCCAGGTCCATCCATGTTGCTGCAAATGGCATTATTTTATTTTTTTAATGGCTAATATTCCATTGTACATATGTACCACATCTTCTTTATCCATTCATCTGTCGATGGACATTTAGGTAGCTTCCATGTCTTGGCTATTGTAAACAGCACTGCAATGAATATCGGGGTGCATGTATCCTTTTGAACCATGTTTTTCTCTGGATATATGCCCAGGAGTGGGATTACTGGATCATATGGTAGTTCTATTTTTAGTTTTCTAAGGAACCTCCATACTCTTCTCCATAGTGGCTGTATCAATTTACATTCCCACCAGCAGTGCAAGAGGGTTCCCTTTTCTCCACACCCTCTCCAGCATTTATTATTTGTAGACTGTTTGATGATGGCCATTCTGACTGGTGTAAGGTGATATTTCATTGTAGTTCTGATTTGCATTTCTCTAATAATTAGCCATGTTGAGCATCTTTTCATGTGCCTCATGGCTATCTGTATGTCTTCTTTGGAGAAATGTTTATTTAGGTATTCTGACCAGTTTGTGAGGGGTCATTTGTTTTTTTGATGTTGAGCCACATGAGCTGCTTGTAAATTTTAGAGATTAATCCCTTGTTGGTTGCATCATTTGCAAAAATTTTCTCCCATTCTGAGGGTTGTCTTTTCATTTTGTTTATGGTTTCCTTTGCTGTGCAAAAGCCTTTGAGTTATTTAGTTCCCATTTGGTTATTTTGTTTTTATTTACATTACTCTAGGAGATGGACTGAAAAAGATATTGCTGTGATTTACATAAAAGAGTGTTCTGCCTATGTTTTCCTCTAGGAGTTTTAAAGTATCTGGCCTTACATTTAGGTATGTAATCCATTTTGAGTTTATTTTTGTGTATAGTGTTAAAGAATGTTCTGAGTTCATTCTTTTACATGTGGCTGTCCAATTTTCCCAGCACCACTTATTGAAGAGACTAACTTTTCTCCACTGTATACTCTTGCCTCCTTTGTCATAGATTAACTGACCAAAGGTGTGTGGGTTTATTTTTGGCCTTTCTATCCTGTTCCATTGATCTATATGTCTGTTTTTGTTCCCATACCAGGTTTTGATTACTGTACCTTTGTAGAATACTCTGAAGTCAGGGACCCTGATTCCTCCAGCTCTGTTTTTCTTTCTCAAGATTGCTTTGGTTATTCAGGGTATTTTTGTTTTCCATACAAATTTTAAAATTTTTTGTTCTAGTTCTGTGAAAAATGCCATTGGTACATTGATAGGGATTGCACTGAATCTGTAGATTGCCTTGGGTAGTAGAGTCATTTTGACTATACTGATTCTTCCAGTCCAAGAACACAGTATATCTGTCCATCTGTTTGTGTCATCTTTGATTCGTTTCAGCAGTGTCTAAGTTTTCAGAGTACAGTTTTTTTGCCTCTTTAGGTAGGTTTATTCCTAGGTATTTTATTCTTTTTTATGCTATGGTAAATGGGATTCTTTCTTTAATTTCTCTTTCTGAAATTTCATTGTTAGTTTATAGAAATTCAACAGATTTCCGTGTATTAATTTTTTAACATGTTTATTAGAGTATAATTGCTTTACATTGCTGTGTTAGTTTCTGCTGTATAACAAAGTGAATCAGTTATACATATACATGTCTCCCCATATTTCCTCCCTCTTGCGTCTCCCTCCCACACTCCCTATCCCACCACTCTAGGTGGTCACAAAGCACCGAGCAGATATCCCTGTGCTATACGGCTGCTTCCCACTAGCTATCTATTTTACATTTGGTAGCATATATATGTCCATGCCACTCTCTCACTTCGTCCCAGCTTACCCTTCCCATACCCCATGTCCTCAAGTCCATTCTCTACATCTTCATCTTTATTCCTGTCCTACGCTTAGGTTCATCAGAATCATTTTTTTCCTTAGATTCCATATATATGTGTTAGCATACAGTATTTGTTTTTCTCTTTCTGACTTACGTCACTCTGTATGACAGACTCTAGGTGCATCCACCTCACTACAAAAACTCGATTTCATTTCTCCTTATGGCTGAGTAATATTCCATTGTATATATGTGCCACATCTTCTTTATCCATTCATCTGTTGATGGACTCTTAGGTTGCTTCCATGTCCTGGCTATTGTAAATAGAGCTGTAATGAACATTGTGGTACATGACTCTTTTTGAATTATAGTTTTCTAAGGGTATATGCCCAGTAGTGGGATTGCTGGGTCACATGGTAGTTCTATTTTTAGTTTTTTAAGGAACCTCCACAGTGTTCTACTTAGTGGCTGTATCAATTTACATTCCCACCAACAATGCAAGAGGTTTCCCTTTTCTCCACACCCTTTCCAGCATTTATTGTTTGTAGATTTTTTGATGATGGCCATTCTGACTGCTGTGAGGTGTAGCTTTGAGTTGCATTTCTCTAATGATTGGTGATGTTGAGCATCCTTTCATGTGTTTGTTGGCAATCCGTATATCTTCTTTGAAGAAATGTCTATTTAGGTCTTCTGCCCATTTTTGGATTGGGTTATTTGTTTCATTGATATTGAGCTGCATGAGCTGCTTATAAATTTTGGAGATTAATCCTTTGTCAGTTGCTTCATTTGTAAATATTTTCTCCAATTCTGAGGGTTGTGTTTTCTTATTGTTTATGGTTTCCTTTGCTGGGTAAAAGCTTTTAAGTTTCATTAGGTCCCATTTGTTTATTTTTGCTTTTACTTCCATTACTCTAGGAGGTGGATCCAAAAAGATCTTGCTGTGGTTTATGTCAAAGAGTGTTCTTCCTATGTTTTCCTCCAAGAGTTTTATAGTGTCAGGTCTTACATTTAGATCTCTAATCCATTTTGAATTTATTTTTCTGTATGGTGTTAGGGAGTGTTCTAATGTCATTCTTTTACATGTAACTGTCCAGATCTCCCAGCATCACTTATTGAAGAGACTGTCTCTTCTCCATTGTATATCCTTGCCTCCTTTGTCATAGATTAGTTGACCATAGGTGCATGGGTTTATCTCTGGGCTTTCTATCCTTTTCCATTGATCTATATTTCTGTTTCTGTGCCAGTACCATATTGTCTTGATTACTGTAGCTTTGTAGTAAAGTCTGAAGTCAGGGAGTCTGATTCCTCCACCTCCGCTTTTTTCCTTCAAGACTTCTTTGGCTATTCAGGGTCTTTTGTGTCTCCATACACATTGTGAAACTTTTTGTTCTCGTTCTGTGAAAAATGCCATTGGTAGTTTCATAGGGATGGCATTGAATCTGTAGATTGCTTTGTGTGGTATAGTCATTTTCACAATATTGATTCTTCCAATCCAGGAACATGGTATATCTCTCCATCTGTTTGTATCATCTGTAATTTCTTTCATCAGTGTCTTATAGTTTTCTGCATACAGGTCTTCTGTCTCCTTAGGTAGGCTTATTCCTGGGTATTTTATTATTTTTGTTGCAACGGTAAAGAGAAGTGTTTCCTTAATTTCTCTTTCACATTTTTCATCATTAAAGTATAGGAATGCAAGATACTTCTGTGCATTAATTTTGTATCCTGCTACTTTACCAAGTTCATTGATTAGCTCTAGTAGTTTTCTGGTAGCATCTTTAGGATTCTCTATGTAAAGTATCATGCCATCTGCAAACAGTTACACCTTTACTTGTTCTTTTCTGATTTGGATTACTTTTATTTCTTTTTCTTCTCTGATTGCTGTGGCTAAAACTTCCAAAACTATGTTGAATAATAGTGGTGAGAGTGGAAAACCTTGTTTTGTTCCTGATTTTGGAGGAAATGGTTTCAGTTTTTCAATATTGAGAAAGATGTTGGCTGTGGGTTTTTCATATATGGCCTTTATTATGTTGAGGTAAGTACCCTCGATGCCTACTTTCTGGAGGGCTTTTATCATAAATGGGTGTTGAATTTTGTCAAAAGCTTTTACTGCATCTACTGAGATGATCATATGGTTTTCCTCTTTCAATTTGTTAATATGGTGTATCACATTGATTGATTTGCATATATTGAAGAATCCTTCAATTCCTGGGATAAACCCCACTTGATCATGGTGTATGATCCTTATAATTTGCTGTTGGATTCTGTTTGCTAGTGTTTTGTTAAGGATTTTTGCTCTATGTTCATCAGGGATATTGGCCTGTAGTTTTCCTTCTTTGTGACATCTTCGTCTGGTTGTGGTATCAGGGTGATGGTGGCCTTGTAGAATGAGTTTGGGAGTGTTCCTCCCTCTGCTATATTTTGGAAGAGTTTGAGAAGGATAGGTGTTAGCTCTTCTCTAAATGTTTATCGAATTCTCCTGTGAAGCCATCTGGTCCTGGGCCTTTGTTTGGTAGAAGATTTTTAATCACAGTCTCAATTTCCGGGAGCTCCTCTTTCCATTGCCTGACCCCCAGGCTGGGGAGCCATACATGGGGCTCAAAACTTTCACTCCTTTGGGAGAACTTCTGTGGTATAATTACTTTCCAATTTGTGGGCTGCCAACCCAGCATATATGGGATTTGTTTTTATCACGACTGAGTTCCTCCTACCATCTCATTGAGTCTTCTTCTTTGTCTTTGGATGTAGGGTATCTTTGGGGGTAGGTCCCAGCATGTTTTGTTCAGCAGTTAGTTGTGATTTTGGTGTTTCTGTAAGAAGAGGTGAGCTCACGTTCTTCTACTCCACCATCTTGTCCTCGTCCTTCAATATCCTTAATGCCAACTAGGATTCTGACACCAGTTCCAATGCATGTGTTTCTTCCATGTGCCAAGCTTACATTGCCTCCCACAATGGCAATGGCACCTCCTATGTGGCCAGTTGGGAAAGAGGGGGAATTTATAAATTTATAAAGTAAACATGGTTATGTTGGCATGACAACCAAAAGGTAGGGAATTCAACTCAGCTTAACCTCAGTCTGCTCTCTTAAATTTATATTTTAAGAATTTGAGTAGCCCCTTATTTCAAATCCATATTAGTTTGATGGAAAATTTATTTTAAGAGCACTACTATCTTTAATATTTTCTATTTATTATGTAACATAGTGGAAAACTTGAATATAAACAAGCTTTTCAAACAAATTGTCATTATTAAAAATATTAGAAATTTGCTTCCATTATATTCATCAGGTTGAATTATGATTCTGTCTTCCTTTTTGTCTATTTTGGTTTTGTAATAAAACTGGTTGTTAAACACCTACTCTTTTCTCTATCTAAAAGAACTACAACTGAATCAATCCAAGAATAATATACCACAAGCTCGACTGAGGACCCTAAAGATGACGGTTGCATTTGCCACTTCATTTACTGTCTGCTGGACTCCCTACTATGTCCTTGGAATTTGGTATTGGTTTGATCCTGAAATGGTAAACAGGGTGTCAGATCCAGTAAATCACTTCTTCTTTCTCTTTGCTTTCTTAAATCCATGCTTTGATCCACTTATATATGGATATTTCTCTCTGTAATTGTTAGACTACATAGGAAGTCACGTAAACAGACACATAAACTATGTAGGACAAGGTAATGGATTTCCCCTTTTGGGAATGATAAACACAAAGCATATTCCAGCACATTTACATACAAACAAAGCAGAGTTTCAGATTACGGTATTACACTTATTCCTTTGGAAATCACATTGTCAGAAACTCAATTACTAGGAAAATTTTTTTCAGGAAAAATAATTATATATTTCCTCTTAACCATTAGCTTCTAAATTAATCTCTTCACTTTCTGAGCTTCTATAACACATTATATGGGTTTTTAAATCACTTTCTTCTTGTATAATAAGATATAAATATTTAAAATAGCCATGGCCTAAGGCAAACAGATGCCAAAAAGTAACGCTGAGAAACACAGCCCTAACCTCAGCATGCCTTGGAGAGTTTTTCTCCAAAGGGGCTTAGCAGCAATTACAATCTTATGCTAAAACAATAAATACATAGAGCACAGAGATAGTATTTCCCCTGCCCATGTGATCAGTTTTCCCTTCTATGGTTTAAAAAAACAAAATGCAATGAATCAAATTTTTTCCTTGGCTTCAAAAGCATTCTGATGTTTGGAGTATTCAGCAACCAACCCACCGTCCACTGCTCCAACCTGACAAGATTTATAAATAGTTCTCTTTCATCTCATTCTTCACTTGGTACAGGTTGTGAAGTGCTTTCATATAAAAGGGAGTTTCAGAGGGGCTCAGATTTGGACAGGGGGTTAGAACATTCCTCTTGGGCTGTGTAGTCTATGGAGTTTGTGGTAATTAAGTGTAGTAATAATAACAATGTTTTAAAATACAATCATGAAAAGATATATACTGATTATGTTTTATAAATAACATACCTTCTCTTTTAATATCAGGGATTTTCTTCTATCTTCTGATCTTTCTAAATCCATAATCCACAAATCACTAAAAAAAAAAAAGAAATAAAGCAAATGCACAAGCAAAAAGTTATTTGATATGTAAAATTAACTCTGAAAACCTCAGTTTCACTATATATAGGTCAAAGGAGACAGAAAGGTATTAGAAAAGGGAAAAGAAAAACTCTCTGTAAATGTATAACTAATACCTGCTGATGTTCACATTGAGTGGTATGGTTTCCAAAATATGTCAGCACAATACCTCTTGTAATTTAGGCCTGTTTCCACCCATTCCATGAAAAAGGGGATAGGATGAAAGGGTTCTATAATATCCATTAAATAAGAAAACTGTATAAGGGAATTAAAAGAAATTCAACCACTCTTTAACTTATTTTTTAAAAGAAATAGGTAAAATATTATTATATTCACATGAGGTATGTAGTGCCACACAAAAGATGAAATGTCATTTCCACACATTCCAGGCCTTGTGGAACTGTGGTTAAGTAAACTACTAATTAAACTAATGGTAGGTCTTTCCTTTCCTTATTTTTCTCTTCTCATACTTTTAGTGTTGTAGTGTGTAGTAGTTATTTTTCCACATTCTAGGTTATTTTCCAATTCTGTCTCCATTGGTCCTATTTCTGTCACTATTGAACTCCTTCCTTTTACTCTTTCATTCATATCGTCTTTTTACTAAACTCATACCTTTAATTAGCCAATCAATGCCCCAACTCTACAGTTGAATTGGGCTGGACTCAAATTTGTAATGTGCTAAAATGCTCAAAGTTAACTTTAAAGGTGTGTATACTGATACCAAGAATTTAAAGTTCACTAGATGACACAGGAATATAGATAAGTCACAACAAAACCATTCTTCTCTACCATCTCTTTATCATACGTATTCTTATTCCCAAACTAATAACAATTCTTACATATGGATTTAAAGGCAAAAATATACAAGATACAATCTAAGGGCTTTGTTAGATATGTGTTTATTGAACATATGTCAGTTTGGCTTTTACACATTCAAGAAACTGTTCTACTTAGATACACTCTTAGGCATTTTTTAATACATTAACTAAAGGGCTATTCAAAATCTTGATGCAGGTGTTTTTAAACTGTGGACCATGCACAAAACTGTATTACAATGCAACTGCTTTACTTTTATTCCTATTTGTATTATTTTATGCATTTAAAAACATTATCCTGAGAAGGGTTTTTGGCCATACCAGACTGCCAAAGGAGCCAATGTCACAAAAAAGGTTAGGAATTCCCAACTGATTCTGTATATTCATAAAGAAGTTTATTACAATAAAAATGTATCAGAATGTATTCACCTGATACATTTTTATATATATATATATTCATAATAATGTTAATATTGAAACTGTACTGGATTGATTCAATTTGATCACTCACCATTTTCAACCTTAAAAACTCTCTTAAGGCTCAACATGTAATGAAAAACTTGGCAGAATATATTATATAAATATTGTGGTCTGTAAATTATAATGTGGATATGGATTTATACCAAAATTAATAGTGCAAAAGGTAAATGTGGCTTTTAAGTTAAAGGTACATCACTCAACATAGAGTATTTCATATTTGGTATTATAGTCATTTACTCTATTTTCAGTCATAATAAAAGATGAGGATTCCTTGTAAAAAAGGATATGTTCTGCAGAGTTAATCCAATATATCAGATAATTAAGATTCTATCTTGGATATCTCCTCTTCTATTTGGCATATAAATCTGGTTAAAAACTGGATTTCCTCTTGCTAAATTCAAGTTAGTAATACATGACATGAACAAACAACAATGAATTAAAAGATTGTGCAAATTCAATTTCAGCCTATAAAACAGAGATATCATATCTTAAAACAAACAAACCAAAAATGTTGGAGTACTACAAACATAATCTTCCCAGCAGCATAAATCAGTGTAAATGAGTTAGAAAAAAATTTTAAGTGCCCTATCTCAGAACTTACTTGGTAGTCACAAAGAGATAATATTTATGAGCAGCTAAAATACATTTGAATTTCATCTATTTTACCTTTAGCCTAGTTTCAAATGTCAAACCAATTCTTGTTGTCTAATTACTATAAATTGTGTCCATAGGAGACTAAATAGAATAAGGTTCAATTTAATTTCTAAGATTAATTGATTTAAATCTTCAATTTAATTCTTTTGGTTATTAAGTATAAAAATTAGGTATAAAACAATAAGTCTAATTTTTTAAATTATATAATATATAAAGTGCATGCATAGGAAAAATAGAATATGTGCAAAAAGTATTGATATAGTTACCTCTGAATGATTTTTTAAATTTCTTGTGAACACCTGTATCCCAAATTTCCAGAATGAACATATATTGCTTTTCTAATGAGAAAAAGGTACAATAAATATTATATGTGTGTTTGTATGACTTTTGTGCTGTTTCTGTTAGGGTGCTTTCTGCTGTAAGCAATAGAAATGTCAGACTAGACGTGGCATGTTTTCATTTCACGTTACAGGAAGTCCAGAAGAAAGCATGCAGAGTTGGTTAGTTCAGAGCTTTGAGTCATTTTCTCTGCTTCCTCTAGGCTTCAGGGATCAGAAACTACTTGTCACCAACTAGAAGTCTCAAAGGCACAAAGAAAGGGTGGCTTCTCACTATACATCTCTTTCCCAGAACCCTCAGCACTTCCTCTTAGATTGGCTAGAACTGGAGCACATGACCACCTCTAAACTATCACTAGCAAAGGAGAAAGGGATTACCCTAAACACCTTAAGGGTATGTTTTATCTTATGGAGAGCAGCACTCAATTTCCCTGAACATTTAGTCACCTGATAACTTTAAAAAAATATTTAGTTCTTTTTTTCCTCTCTCTTTTTCTTTTTTTGTGAGAGCAAGAGGGGAATGTTTTGGGGATCAGAAGACAGAAGTACCTGCTACAATCACCAATTACCTTCTCAAAATAAAATCAGGACTATGTATATCACAAAATTTAAATAGCACACAATTTAAACGCAAAGAATAAAGGCTAAATATAGTCTTGGTACATTGTAATTACACAATAAATGTAGCCCTAAGGGAAAAGAACAAACTTTATTATTTTTCACAATCTAACTCCGAACATTTAAACTCCTGTGGTTGGAATCTTCATCTGATGCATAGAGGGTAACTTCCACCCAATTATTGACTTTCTTTTATAACAAGTCCATTGGATAAGAAATTTGCATAAGTTTTAAAAATTCTAACTATGACTTGAGATCAAGTGAATAATTGTCAAATTAATAATTTAAAAATGTGATTAAAACTAAAAAGCTAAAAACTAAAAAAAAAAGAAAAATGTGGTAACCTGAAGTGGATTTCCCATGAAGCTAATGAAACTTAATTTCAAAGCTCCTCATTTAGCCCCCTCATGAGCCCTGGAAAAGAAGTCTTCCCATGGGTACATGTTTTTATAAAATTCATAAAAATAAGATATTATAATTGCAATAATTAAGACTATCTCTTTTCACTTTTACTTCCCCTCTGTCACACTCATCCCTCAGATGAGGTGGTGTTGGAATGGCCATGGATAGCTTTGGGATCCAGCCAAGGGGAACTTGAATTAGGTATATATTTACATTGAATCTAAAGGGATATTTTGTGGTTCTTGGCCACTTTCATGTGTAGTTAAGTCACTGCTAACCATCACAGTAAGCATCTAGGCATAGTACTAGATAAAATATTGTTACCCCCATACAGACTTACCTGGCATAGTGACAGGAAAGTGTAGGGCCAGAGGTCATATCATGATATGGAGGTGTCTAGAGTATGGCACCAGAACTATTTGAGTAGTGGAGGAAAAGTAGGGTATAAAACGTACAGAAACCTGTCTACAGAAATTATTTCACTCTTTAGCATGTCCACCCTAAAGTGATTCCCAATAAATCACACCCCCGTATAAGGTACTCTGGCTTCCAGCCATGCTTTACCTATGGAAAAGGTAATGGGATATCATTTCTTTGATTAAGCTATAAGGTAAAGGTGATAGATGTTCCTCCCATGACTCTTGTTACATTATATATGATTATCTTAGCTGACTGAGCCCAAAATTCTCCTGCTGCCCTTGAAGAAGCAAACAGCCACGCTGTGAACTACTTTTGCAGAGAGTATGTGGCAGGGAATTGTGGGCAGCCTCTAGGACCTGAGGGTAGCCTCTGGTGGACAGCCAATGAGAAGTTGGGACCCTCAGTCATACAGATGCAAGGAAACGAATTCTGCCAACAACCTGATAGCCTGCAAGTGGATTTGTCCTTAGTCAAGCCTACAGAGAAGAGCACAGCCTGGCCAACATCTTGATTACAGCCTGCTGACACCCGAAACAGAAGATCCAGTCTCAAGCCTGGGCTCCACACCCACAGAAACTGTGAGATAAATGTGTGTTGTTTCAAATCACCATGCTTGTGGTAATTTATTATGAAACAGTGGAAAACTAATATACTTAGCATGTAAAATTGTAAGAAAAAGATTGGGTCCTCATCAAATCCTAGTTAAAATAGAAATTCTCTCCTTTCAGAAATATACTCAACAGTGCAACATATACAATTATAAATGCCTACATTATTTTTTCTTTTTGACTGGAAATGTAAAATTTATCAGAATTCCTGTGTTTGTAGGGTACAAAACTGTAGCAGTACTAAAGCCAGTGAGTACATCTGTTTCATGCATCTCAATGTATGCGATTAAATGTTAGGATGTCATTACTTACAAAGAATTTTGAAATTGAAAGAAAAAATTTAAAACTATCACTATATAAAACATTATATTATAAAACATTGTTATACTAAGACATAATTAGGGAGTATGAAGCCAAAATAATTTACGGGAAAAAGTATTTTAGAGTTATGTCAAGCAGTTAATGCTTAAAATTATTACTTTTTTTTTTTTTTAGATTTTGTGATGTTTGTAAAAACTTCAGGCCCCAGAAAACATGAATCCTTCTGATAGGAACTAAGCCTCTGCATTATTTCTAAGACCACCTCCCACTTTCCAAACTTATACACTAGTTCTGGTAAAAGGATTCAAATCTTATTTTCTTGCCAAATTCACTATCCCAGTGATCTCTTCAGAAAGCTAGACTTGCTAGAATGGGGTCCTGCCTTATTCCTACCATTCTAATGCCTCCTCTCCATTAGAATGGGACTGAAGTCTGCTCCTAAACCAACTTTAACTAAGGAGAACATGCTATTTTATTTCACTCATCTCTGCTGCAAACTATATACTGGTCTGTGTACCAAAATCTCTAATGCTCCCTACTTTTACAGATTTTTAATTACTATGCTCCACCCACCTAATAGGATGTATCTTGCTGCACTCTCATCCACTGCTTTCTCTATTACTAGTTGATCTCTGCAACTAGTAATTATCTATCACTAAACATGCTGAATGTGTTCTACTTTCTAGGATGCACTTACCATATTCACTGATAGCTGGTTCCTCTACAACAATTACTTGCCCCAATAGATGTAGTTCCCAGGAATACCTTCACAAGGTCTCCAAGTCCATTGCAGATAATAATCCCATGACAATCTATTTGACAAAATGCAACCACTATCAGAACAGCACTGTCAAATTCAATAGAAAACAGATCCCAAAGAAATAGAAATGCAGAAGCTGACAAAGATTTATCAGAGGAGCGCTCTCTCAACTTCCCACTGTTAAACATTCCTAAACTATATCCTGTTCTCTGTGTTCTCCTATTACGATGTAAGACTTGTCCCTGCTCCTCTTAAAAGCCAATTCCTCTCCTTGTGTTGTGGATACCATTCTCTCTCACCTTTCAAGGACATCACTTCTTCGGATATCCCCTTGTCCTCCTATACCATCAATCTCCCCCTTTCTACTAAATCATTCCCACTGCTGTATGAAAATGCTTTTTATCTTGCATCTTAAAAAAAAATCCTCCTCAGCCATATACTCAATTTCAGCTTCACCTCCCACAATCCATTTCTCTACTCTCCCTCCCAGAAAACTTCTCAAGAGTTGTCCACACCTGATAACTCCTCTTCCTTACTTCCCTTTTAATCTTCAACACCTGTCACCTTGTAGTCTGTCCTTACTGCTCCAGTGAAACTCTAGTAAAGGTCACCAAAGATCACCCTACTATGAAAACCAATGGTGATTTCTCTGTTCTTGACTTACTGTAATTTTCATCAACATTCAAACAATTGTTCATTCTCTCTGTAAAGAGCTCAGGTGAAGGAGGACTGGGCCATATCTTGGAGAATACTGGAGTGGCAGGAGTTGAAAGAGAAAGCTTAATTTGGGAGAGAGCACAAGACAAAGAGGTGGTTTGGGAAATTGTCAAGCACCAGGGAGCTACATGGAAGCTTAACTGATGTCTGAAGGCCATCCCTCTCTCTTCAAGTGAGTAAATAATATTGCCATCACAGAGGAGCCCCATTGTTGTTTTTCTTATCACTCTCTGGTGAATGGCCTTCCATTTTCAGATATCAGCACAATATCCCTTAGCCATTCATGAAAAAAGTAATCATCCTAAAACAAGGCTGAACCCCCATCTGAATAACTATTCTGGGTAGAAATCCAATTTTCATCAGTCTAGTATATTTTTAATTCCACTGAAAAGAGCGGGTGGTAATTCCTTAACAAATTAAGAACAAAGCCCAGCATCAATACTTGAGTGGAACCGGACAGTGATGAATTCCTATACCAATTTGCTTCCCACTTGAGACACTCCTCTTAGCTCTGTGAAACCATCCCCTCCCAGTTTTTCTCCTATCTCACTAGGAGTTCTTTCTCAGTTTCATTTTTTCCTCTTTCTATTCTACCTAATGTTTATATGGGCTCAGATCTAGGGATTCTTGGTTTATCTGTCTACCCTCTCCCCCTTGGGGATATCACCCAGTACTGTGTGTGTGTGTGTGTGTGTGTGTGTGTGTGTGTGTATATATATATATATGTATATGTATATGTGTATATATATACACATATACAAACACATACACATGTACACACACATATTTATATATTATATATTATTAAATTTATATATTTAGCTCAGACTTCTTTAAGCTACAAGTTCATAGATCCAAATTTATACTTGATTCCTCTACATGCACATCTTAAACTCAATATATCTTTATTATGTTATAATGAACTCTTTATTTCTTCCCTAAATCACTTTCTCATTTATTCTTTCCATCTCAATGCTGGCACCAAAATATGCCTAACTTGTTCAAGCCAAAATCCAGGATTTATTCTTAATTTATCTCTCCATAGTATCTTATATCTAATCCATCAATAAGTTCAGTCTTCATAACATTTTCCAAATCTATTTCTCTATTTCTATTGTCATTGACCTAGTCTAATCCAGCATCATCTCTCTCAACCTGATTAGAGCCACAAACTTCTCACCAAATTCCTCTTGCTCTGCTATAATCCATTCTCCAGAATGCTCCTTTTAAATATAATTAAAATGTCACTAGTCTGCTTACTCTCTAATGACTCCACATCCCACTTAAAACAAAATCCAAATTTCTTATCTTGGTGTTCTTGAGCAACTTTGAATGATCAATTATGACTTCAGGCTGAGAAGCTGTGGGACATTGCCAATGTTAACTTTTTTCCTTCTTCAGTAAAAGGATGGAATTAGTATAATATCATCATTGTCCCTAAAGAGTGACACAGCAAGACCCACACTGTGGTTCAAGGAAATATATGTGTGTGTGTGTATAATATATTTTTATATATTTATAATTTTGTATATATATTTACATGTATATGCTAAGAAAAATGAAATATGTAAAACTCTGTAAAATTCTTTGAGATATTTCAGAGTGCAGATGTAATACAAGTTTGCTGCCTTAATGTTTCTATTCAGTAATGGAGAAAAATACTACCTTTATCAATTAGGATGCTTTAAGCTAGAAGAATGAGAAACCCAATTAAAAATGGCTTAAACAAAAAGAAACTATTTCACGTATCAAGCATTCCAGAGCTTAGCTGACTCAGAGTTCCGGGAAATTTAGGATTTTGGCATATGCACTGTATCAGTTTTTTGATCTCAGGCTTGTCCATTTTGGCCAGGAAGAACATGAAACGGCTGCAGGAGGCATCTCCTCACAGACTAAGTCCAAAGACACAAAAGGGAATATTTCCATGATGTGTCTATTCTTATCAACAGGGAGAATCTTCTTCAGAAACCCATCCATAGGACTACCTCTCACTTATTATCCTGAACCGCCTAACATGTCAATGCCTAAACCAGTCAACTCTAAGGAGATTGGGATTTTGACTATTTTAGTCCAATCATAACTCAGTATCTAGGGTTAGGGAGAAATCTAGCCTCCCATGAAGCTCATGGCAGCCTTATGTCTGAACAAAATTGATATTCTGTTAACAAGAAAGAAGGGAGATCTCTTACCAAGAAAGAAGGAGTATGATGTCTGTCAACCTGTCTTTCAGCAATTTAAATGACTAAAAAGAAGCTGTGATTAGATGTCATCAATGACCATAATTTCTGTTCAGTAGAAGTATTAAAAGTGATGGGAGCATCTCCCATTTTGAAGCAATCACCAGATCTATCCACGAAACTTGGTGGTAGGCAAATCTATTTCTTGCCTATTCCTTTCATCCAGAATTGCCCAACATTTGGAACTAAACATGAAATCTCACCAGCAGAGGGCTGAGGATTCATGCAGGTAATTTGCTGTTGTTGCCATTGTTACTTAATATTATCTTAATTGATAATAAAGAATCTTTAGAGTATGTTTATTCTAAACTTTTCGTTTTACTAATTATTAAATCAGATATCTCTCTTCCTACCTTATTGGAGATGATAACCTGGACTCAGTATCTATTCCCTCACCTTTGCTTCCTGTTTCTACCACCCTGCATTAAAGCATCCCTAATCACATTGGTGAGGTTAGTGTCCAGAATAGAAACAGCTGCTGGGAACTCTATTTCCTGGAATATAAAATCCAGCATCCCACCCAAAGCCCAGTGATAAGAGGATTGTGAGAGATGACTCTTTCAATAGCTTCTTCAGTGAGAATAGTGTTGTCTAGTATGTCCCCACAAGAATGTTTATAGACCTACAACGAATTATAAGTGATGAAGGTCTCTCTAGAATGCCATCACTGGCAAAGATGTTGCAAATAGCTGTGCCTCTAGGCACTACACCATTGAAAAGGAAATCAGTGACCTAGTGTTGAACAGGATTCAGAAGCTAGCGGACCTGAGTGTAGGTTCAGGCTTTCTTGGATTTCTGCTGGTTGGTTGTAAAGCCAGTTTCTATTTCTCATTCCTGCTGATAGTTGATTATAGGAACAGTTCTCCATTTACCCAGCTTCCTAGTTTTTCTTAGCTGTAACTGAAGTCTTCAACTTCATCACTCTGGAGTATTACGATTGTGATTTTATATGAGATAATGGGGCTACCTATATTTGTGTAGAAACCTTAATTACAAGCACTCAATATACAATAACCTTAACCATATTATCAACAGTATTGTATTCTCCATCACTGCTTCCCTCAGATTTTATGATGCCTTGCACATTTATGTGACAGAATTCCATATTAACTTTTTCTCTATCTCCATACCTACCTCCTTCTGTCCACATATATCCCAGTTATCTTTGCTAGAAAAGTCAATCACAAACATTTTCTGTACCCAAAATTACTAATTCTTTTTCTATTACCTTGCAATGGTAAATATAAGGCATGTCTAAAGGCAGGATCCAGAGTATAAAATGACATCAGAGCCAAGAGGAATGGAACCGCAAATAAACTAAGCAACAGAAACAAAAGACTAACACAAATACCGGTGCAGTCCAGAACGCAGTAAGGAAAGCCGTACTGAAAGGAGGTTTAGAGGTAGCCCAAAGAATGAGTTAGAGGAAGCGAGTTAGAGCAGCGCAAAATTTGGTCCTAGGTCTAGCAGCGCACAGATCACCAGGGAACTTGTCAGAAATGCAAATTCTCAGCCCCTACCCAAGCATACTGAAGCATAAATGCTAGTGGGGGTCCAAAAAGCTGCTTTAATAGGCAGGCCAGGAGATTCTGGTGTGTGCTGAAGTTTGATGCCTCCAGGCTAGAGGTGCTGGCTGCCAAACCAAAGATGAGAAAACAAGCTGAAGATGAGAAGGGAGATGATCTGAACATCGTTTCAGTCAAGAAAAAAGATGTGAAATTGGATAGTATAGTTTGAGTCTATGGTGAACAGTGACTGTGGATGAATTCATCTTTGGAGTAGGGCTCTGAGCATCCTCTTTCATAAAGGGGTCGAGGTGCCTTTATCATCCAATTAGGGCACATCCAGATGCATTTACAGCATATTGCCTAGAAAGACACAAAAACATGAAGTCCCACTTAGGGATTTTCAGGTTTGTCATCTGTCTTCTACCAATATTAGAAGAAGGTTAAACTTAGGAGCATGATTTATTATTTTTATCTCTAGTCACTGTTGCATAATCAGTTAAATCAAACAATAAAGTGTCTTGAAAAATATATTTCAATCGTTAATCTACAATGACTTGTCTTTTTATTGCTCTATGGGCAATTTTTTAAAAATATTTCAGGAAAATGTGATATACATATATCCTAATTCATAGACCACTTATGATGATAATTATTCACATTTTGAAAAGGTTTATTTCCTTCACAAAGGAATTCCCTCTAGGTTCTTCTAAATAGTCTGTAATAATCAGCTTCAAGCCAGTTCAAATGTTATCACAACATCTTTGGACAAAGAAGCCTGCTTCAAAACTCAGGAGGTTGGCTGCTTTCCAACCATGTTCATGAAGGCCTGACCTCAGGACGTAGTACTTCCTATTCTTTATGACAGTCACGGAACAGGTATTCCAATTGTTGGGATCTGGGTATAATATACTAGAGGAATACTCAACAAGGGATGAAGCTAGTCATGGCTCTGTACCTGTAATGATGTGAATTTATCCAAGACATTTAAACTCTTTACCTCTTTGACTCATCCTCTATAAAGCAATAGGGTTGTATACTGAGGTGACTGCTAAATATCCTTTCTGTGCTAATAGTGAATAACTTAGGAGAATGAAGTGAAAAATACATGTAAATAGCCTGTGTAATTATAAAACACAATATAGATGTTGTTTATTATCTTTATAATTTATGATGTGAACTATTTAATTTGCAGAAATCCAATTTGTACATAAAATTTCAGGAAGATATTCATTACAATGTACACTTACATGATGATCAAGACAGGTCAATTCTAAATGTATTGTGGTATCCTGGATTGGATCCATACAGAAAAAAGAACATTAGTGAAAAACTGGTGAAATCCAGATTAAATATGTAGCTAGTTAATAGTATTGTACCAGTATTAATTTCTTAGTTTTGACAAATGGACCACGGTTATGTAAGATGTTATCGTTAGAGGAAGCTGAGTGAAGTATATACAGAAATTGTTTTACCTTTGCAAATTTTCTGTAAATCTAAAATTACCCAAAATAAAGATTTTAAAATAAAATTATTGTACCATGCCTTGAGAATGTAACTATGCATTCATACATACATACACACATATAAACACATGCAGCACAGAGACAACAGAAATGAAGGAAATCACAGAAATCAAGCCACCATATTTTTCAGCACTACACCAAAGCAACAAAAAAGGAGCTCTCTGGCGTTAGAAAAGTTTTCCTGAAACCTGTGAGAAAGTAAAAATGAGCTTGGACTAAGAAAGTAAAAATCTGCTTTGCCATTCATCAGGTATAGATAATAAACACAGATAAAGCCAGCTGTAAAGTTAACAGAAAATAGTGTTTCTCCCAAGAACATGCTGTGGTGTCACCAAAAAAACCCACTATGAGTAACTGCTGCTTTTTTTACTCACAGAGAACTCTTTTCTCTAAAATCATAGATTGTCAAAAAACTTGCTCTTTGAAATCTTTCATTAAGATTGAAATATCCCATTCTTGGCTAGATGATCTGAGTTATGTGATAGAGAAACAGCCTCTACTTCCAGAACTTCAGAAAAGGGGTTTGTGGACACATTCCTCACCTACTTCGACTCTGTAGCTACCAAAAAAACAGGGTCCGTGTTACAGTCCAGACCTAAGGTAGGCCCCCTTACATACATCCTTCCTTTCTTTTGAGTCTATCAAAATACTACTTCGTTTTATTTCTCCTAAATTCTACACTTCCCCAAATTCCTATAATAAACCTACCTTTTCCTTTGATGAGGCATCCCATGGTGGGCTCCATGGAATGTGGCCTCCCTCCTTGCAATGAGCCAGAAACCTGACATTCTTGGAATACAGTTTTGTTTCTGATGGATGTAGTCTTATTGGACTAGGAAGCCTGCCTCATACTAAAAGTTAAAGAACAGTAATTTCACATAAAACTGAGCTGCCAAAAAATATCAAGTTCAAATCCTATACAAAATTATTATCAAAAAAGAGAGAATAGGGCTTCCCTGGTGGCGCAGTGGTTGAGAGTCCGCCTGCTGATGCAGGGGACACGGGTTCGTGCCCCGGTCTGGGAAGATCCCACATGCCGCGGAGGGGCTGGGGCCGTGAGCCATGGCCGCTGAGCCTGCGTGTCTGGAGCCTGTGCTCCGCAACGGGAGGGGCCAAAAAAAAGAAAGGCCCGCAAACCAAAAAAAAAAAAAAAAAAAAAAAAGAGAGAGAATAAGGAGTATAACATCATCATTACAGATAATGAAAGCATGCCCCAAAGATGTGTCACAAAATAGATCAAAACTGAAAGTTACTATTTTTAAACTAGCTAAATGACATTAAGAAAATGATACAAGGTATGAAAGAACAACATGATTCAGAATTAGAAAAACACAATTAATTCTATGGAGGGAATCCTTTCACACTGTATACATATATCAGATCATCACATTGCACACTTTAAATATCTTACAATTTTATTTGTCAATTATATCTTGAAAAAGCTGGGAAGAAAATAGAAAAACTCAGAAGTTAAGGTGACAGAACTCAGGGGAATTAGTAATAAAGAATTAATTACACACAACAGATTATGATTTTCCGTAAAGAACCTGAACCAATCCTTAGGTCAATGTTTTTCTCATCATTTTCGTTGTCTGATGCTCATTCTCTAGTAATTCTCCAGGAAGGGCTCATGAAAATGATAGTCTCATCAAATACTGATATCATATCAAGTGTTGATAGTAGTTTATACCCTTTGCACGTGAGAGTTAGTTTTGCTGGATATAAAATCCTTAGTGCATTCTTTGTCCCTTGAGTACCCAAAATATGTTGTTCCACTTTCTTCTGACAAAAGTTTCACTGTGAAAAGTCTAGTGATATTCCAATTTTCTTCCCCATTTTGCAAATATAAGAATACATTTAAATCTGGGTATCTGTTATATTGTTTGTTTGAAATAATTCACACTATACTTCACCAAATCATGACCTCAGTTTTAAGAACACCATTATTTTCTGTACTGATAAAAAAGAAAAAAAATACATTGCAATTTCAAGGAAGTTAAAATGTGGAAAAATGTGGGTCTTAGATAATATTCAGTATATTCATTTTCTATTGCTGTATAACAACTTACTGTAAACATAGTGGCTTAAAACAACACAAATTTATTAGCTCACAGTTCTAAGGTCATAATTGTGGGCCCATCACAGCTGGGTTCTCTGCCCAGGGCCTCACAAAGTTGAAATCAAGGTACTAGCAGACCTGTTGTGATCTGGAACTTGGGGTTTTCTTCCAAGGTCATGTAGGTGTTGACCAAATTTAGTTCCTTGCAGCTGTAGGCCAAGGTCCCCTTCTCCTTATTGGCTGGAAGCTGGAGGCCACTGTAAGCCCCTAGAGGCCATTCCCATTCCTTTCTATGTGCCCCCTTCCCTTTTCGAAGCCAGCAATGGAGATTTTCCCTCCCATCAAATTCCTCCTCACACTCTGAATCTCCTTCTCCAGGAAAAGACCAGTCTCTTTTAAAGGTAGAGAGGCAATTTACAAATAAACAAACATACACCAGAAGGTGACAAATCTCAAAGAAGAAAAATTTTAAAGTGTACACTTGATTTTCCCTCAGTCTAGAATGCTCTTCTGCTAGATATTCACAGGACTCACATCACTTAGGTTTTTAGCTCAAATGTCACTTCTTCAAAGAGGCTACCTTTGACTACTATGTCTAAAATTGTCTCTCTCCTCCTCCCCAAGTCTCTTTTCTTCACCTTATAAAGTTTTCTTCATCGTATTTACTTTCTAATGTTATTTTTCATTTATTTTCCATTTTTTTGCCTTCCCACAATGAGACTGATGAAATCAGGGATCACTGTATCTCTATCACCTAATCATCATCTAGTCATTAGGCCCTAATGTTTAACAGGCATTCAATAAATATTTAAGAAGGAAAGAAACAGGGAAAAGAAATTAGGAGAGAAACTGGTGTTATTTGCGGAGCGAACCTTTCAAAGATATTTATATCTATTAATTTTAGAATAAAGAGAGAAGACAGGGGATTAGTCCAGTCCTAGAGCAGAACCTTGAAAGAATGGGACACAGACCAAGTTCATTTTCATGATTATGTAGAAAAGGTACACAACTTGATTGAGAGATCTGAATGATGGCATAGGTGAGCAATATGAAGTTTCCAGGTATTTGGAGATGTGCAAGTTGAAAAGAGAATAGAGGCACAAAGAATAATGCCCTTTTGCCTGGACCCTCTCTCCACACCAGAATGGGAAGAAATTCTAAGTAAAAATATCATACATTACAGATGATATAAATACATAGTGTCAAAGTATTTGTCAGTTTTTAAAATCCTACAGACATTTCTCCAAACATACACTTATTTAGAATGAAAGATAAATTGTAATATTATTGAGTCACACTAATTCTTGTTGTTTTCCAAGAAAAGTGAAAGGGGAGTCAATGGAAAGGGAATTAGATGAGAGGTCCTTACACATATGTTCAGGTACTTAATCTGGCAAGTCACACCAACCGTAAATTTCTGTCCCTCACAAAGTGAAGGGGGCAACCTGGATGACATATGCCATTCATAGCTCATAAAATCACGATTCTATCAAATTTGTGACAGTGCTTGACACGTAGCAGACGTCCAAAATTATTTGTTAAACGTGTAACGTCTTAAAATGTAATCCCAGACTGGAAATCCGGAGCTACTTATTACTAGCCTTTGGGGTTTTTAAAAGTATAAAATGAAGGGGTTTCTTCTTCCTGCTATAAAACTCTTAAGGATTTTGCTACGCAATCCTATCACTTCGCTGGCCACTGGAATCCTCTGTGTTTGGTAGGTGACTCGTACCTTCAGTGTTTTGGTTCGGTTTACATCTGCCAGACGCCAGTCGCAACATTCCATTCCCTGCAATCACCTGCAGCAAAGCCCACTCCACGACCACACCCAAACCGGAAGCCAGGACGCCTCTGGGCTTGACGGGAAGGCGCCGCCGGGCTGCGCGCTCCCCCAGGCCCGCCCCCTCCGGTGACGTCACCGCCCGCCCCTTGACCTCACGGTCCTGCCCCCTTTCCTGCCTCCCAGTATCCAGCAACGGCTGCGTCCCAGGAGGCGATGGAGGGCTCCCAGCCGGTGGCTGCACGTCAGGGGGAAGAGGCGTCCTGCTCCTCCTGGGGGGCCGGCAGGTGAGAGGACGTGTGTGGGCGCGAAGAAGCAAGGCGTGGCGGGCAGGACCCAGAGCCCGGCTTTCTGCTTCTTCCCCTAAGGCGGGCAGGGAGTGCGCGAGAGGCCGCGGGGCTGGCCAGAGCCGGCCCTGGGCGGCTAGGGGAGCGCGCGGTGTGGGTGTGGCGGCGTGGGCTCCGGCCTCTGCGACTGCCGGCTTCGTTGAGGAAAAAGCCCACTTATCGCCCCTTTCAGCGCTTTCTCAGTTCTGGTTGGGGTCTGCCATTCCTCCTTCCTCCTAGTCGCCGGACGTGGAGGGGAGGGAGGGGCTCCGGCGGGGAGTTCTGGTCCGAGTCGCTCGGTGTGAGCTTCCCAGACCTGGTGCCGGACCCCTTCCCTCCTTTCGATAAAGTGAAAGCTAAGCTCTGCTGTGCGCTGTCCTCCGCTGAGATCCTCCTTTGAAAACTATTACCAGAGGGAACTTGGTAATAATGAATCAGTGGTAGTCAGAACACTCTGAGGCCTCTGTTGACTAAACTTTAAAAAGAAAGAAAGAAAGAAAAAGAAATCCAGGAAAAAAACACGAGTTACCCATTCTTATTTCCCAGTTGGTGTTGAGGTTCACGTCTTTTCCATTCTGGCAAAAATAGAGGGGAAATGTGCGTGTAGTTCCTGTTTCAATCATTTCGTAATTAATAAAGCGGATAGTTACATTCTGCCCACTACCAGAATACAATATGCCAAAGATAAAAGTGGCGCAAATTTGATTTTGAGCTAATGTGAGTGTTCACAAACCTGTAGCATTTTCACCAGCTTCAGACTGAAGGGATGCTTTTTGGTACCATGGTATTGCCTGCCATTGCCAGCATTGCCAAATTTACTTGGGAGATATTATGTAATACAAACAAAACCTTCCCTTATTTAAAGCATTTCTGATCGCCATGTAGACCTTATCATAAGAATGATTTTTGAAATATTCCAGTAAGGCAGAACTTTCTGAAAAGTAGGTGCCAGTCGTATCGTTAAGTGACAGAACTGGTTAGAATGTAATGCTCTACTCATGTTTACTTAAGAGCTTTACCCACTAGACTACTGCCCTCCATGCAAGGAAGATAGCTAGTGAAAGTATACCAGGGATAAGAAAGCTGTAATAAAAATTTTTGTTACAGTGCCAGGGTATATTGTGTATTTGTTTGTTTTTATTAGCTAGAAGCAAATACTTTGGCTTGTATAGCAACACCAGGCCTAGAAAATAAGTTTCCAAAACTGGATTTTGTGCTATCACGTTGTTTTTAGAATCCTGTGATTGATAATTAGAGCTTCTCAAAACCTAGAATGGATCACACTTTTGCCAAGATGATACTGATCTTAGCTGTCACCGTGGCTCAGGCCCAAATGTCCCAGCTGGTTCCCTCTGGCCAGGAACTATTTCTGTTTCCCAGTGTTTACCTATTATCATTTTTCTTTCTGTGCCATGCTGTGAAAAAATTGGAATGAACTGTGGTAAATGATACATCACTTTGTGTCTTGTTACACTAGTATGTTTAACCTTTTTTTAATTTTTAAAATTCATTTAACATATTTTTTTTTTAGTGCTTTCTTCATGCCTACTGTGAGAGGCAATAGGCAGTATAATGTGGTTGTCAGGAGCTAGACTGATTAGATTCAGGACTCTGCCATTTACCTGCTCTGTGACCATGGGCATATTATTTAAGTTAATCTCTGTCAGTCTCAGGTTTTTTCCTCTGTTCAATGGAGACAGTAATAGTGTCTATCTCATAAAATTGTTGAAAGGGTTAACTGAGTTAGTACATCTAAAGCACTTAAAGCAGTGTGTGACACATGTTTGCTCTTGTTATTAAATGTCAGGTACTGTTTTAGGGATTTGGAATACAGTAGTGAATTCCTAATGGATCATATATTCTATAGGGGAAGGCAGATGATAGTTAATGAAAAAAATACATAATTAATGATTTAAAGAAAATACAGCAGGTTAACAAGTTAGGGAGCCACTTCATTGATTGTGTTACTAAACCAAACTTGGTCTGCTTCCCCAATGCACACCAAAGCCAATCTCCTGGCACCAGGTAATGGTGAAGAAAAGTACAGTTTATTGCAGGGCCAAGCAAAGAGAATGGGCAGCTCATGCTCAGAAGACAGAAACTCCCCATTGGCTTTCAGGGAAGGGTTTTTAAAGACAGTTTGAGGGAGAGGGTTGTGGGGTGTGTGATCCATGCTCAGTTCTCTGATTGCTTGATGGTGAGGTAACAGGGTAATGTTTTTGGAACCTCAATCATCAACCTTCTGGTTCCAGTTGATCAGCAGTTCAGCACACAGTTAACTTCGTCCACCTGGTGGGAGTTCTAGCATTTGCAAGACAACGAAAGGTCCTTGACTTGTTTTATGGCTAAACTGTTCTTACTTTGACTGCTTTCCTTTGTTTCTACATTTTCTCATCTCTCTGATTAAATTTGCTGTTTGGAACTCGGGGAAAGCCTAGGAGGCTAAAACTTTTGTACAAACAAGCGGGGAGAGGAAATCTGTCCCAGGGAAGGCCCCACAGGGTCCTGCTCAGTTTCAATGGGGTGATCCCGAATGGTCTGTGATGTTTGTGAAGCAATATTTTAATAGAGGCTTAAATGGTAATAGTCAGTTTTTCAGAGATCTGAAGGAAGAACATTTGAAGCAAAGGGAATAGCAAGTATAAAAACACTGAAGAGATAGCAAGCCTGGCTTTTTGAGAACCATCAAGTAGGCCAGTGTAGCTGAAGATAGTGAGCAAGAGGGAGAGGTGTGGGCGTTGAGGTTGGACAGGTAACTGGGAGACATACATAAAGGCCCTATTATGTATGCTAAGGTGTTTGAATTTTGTTCTAAGGGTAAAGAAAACTTACTGAAGGATAATTCTAAGTTAGGGAGTAATGTCTGACTACATTCTAAACGTTTTAGGCTGTTAGATGGAAAATTAATTAAAGGGAAGGGCAATAGAAATAGAATAGTTTAGGAGGCCTTTGAAGTAGTTCAGATGAGATATGATGATGGTTTGGCCTGAGATTGTATTGACTGAAATGGTGAGAAGTGATCAGATGTGAGAAGGTAGAACTAACAGCACTCACAGATAGAGAAAATAAGGGAACAAGTAAAGATCCTTAGATTTTTGGCCAGAGCATGTGAGTAAATGGTGGCATCATTTGCTTGGTAGTCCCAAGTGAGTTGGGAAAGGCTGGGGAAGAATAAATTAAGCAAGGGAAATTGAATTCTATTTGAGGCTTGTTATGTTTTTTTTTGTTTTTTGTGGGTTTTTTTTTTTTGTGGTATGCGGGCCTCTCACTGTTGTGGCCTCTCCCGTTGCGGAGCACAGGCTCCAGACGCGCAGGCTCCGCGGCCATGGCTCATGGGCCTAGCCGCTCCGCGGCATGTGGGATCTTCCCGGACCGGGGCACGAACCCGTGTCCCCTGCATCAGCAGGCGGACTCTCCACCACTGCGCCACCAGGGAAGCCCGAGGCTTGTTATGTTTGTGATACCAGTTAGACATCAGAATAGAGATATTGTTCTGGCAGATGCATAAAATCTGGAGGGCAGAGGAAAGGTCAAACATGTAGAAATAAGCTTAGATATCATTATATGGTAAATTCCGAGTGTGTATATTATAGAAGGTTTATGGGACACTCAAATAAAATTGCTAAAATATAGATCCATCAGAATATATGTAGCATTGATAAACAACATGTGAGAATAAAACAACCATGGGCTCTAATTTTATAATACAGGGTAGGCAGTCAGTGGATTTAATCTTGATCTAGTTTTAAAATCTAAGTAAAGTGGTAAATAATAAAATATATACCTGGTTTGTAAAACCTGTTTTAGTAACTAGTGAATCTGATCCCATGTATAATTGAATATGTGTATTACAGAATATGAGTATTGAATAGCCATACTGGCCCTTATAAGTTATGTTTTCTTTTTTCAGTGTGAATACAAATTTGCCCAATATGCCAACAGAATCTGTGGAGATTGATGATGCATTATACAGGTAAGTACCTTATGGAAACTGAAACATTTTCCCCATTCATTGTTCTCCAGTAACGGAGTAGTTTTATTCAAAGACACCATTAGGCCTATGCAAAATTTTGTAATATATATTCTAAGAGTTCCACTCAAGTTAAAAATTCGGCTTTCTTTTTTTGTTTTTTTTACTGTAGGCTGAAAGCTTGAATAATATTTAAATCTTGGTTGCGTTAGGTTTAGGTGATATGACTAAAAATGATTTTGCTATCCACTACAAAATATACCTCTTGTTTCTGGACAGGAGTACAGATTTATGTTCTTGATAGTGCAGGAGTCTCATGAGAGACAATTCATTTCACTTTAGTTAGTTATACAGTAGCATCTAGAGACCATGTTAACTTCACCGTGATCTCATTAACAACATTGCATGTTTGCACTGTATAGACAGTGGAGAAGTATTTTGTGATTGAAGAGCTGTGATTTGAATGGAATTTAGTGGGACTTTTTTTACCATATTTTTTCATGAAATAAAAATACTTTTTTCAAAATTAAAGAAAAATTAAAAACACATAAGTTGCTGTCATTTCTAGTAGATACTTTGAGATGTTTGCATGAAAGATAGTATACTCTCAGTTTAAAAGTTTTTAGATTTCCTCTATAAGTAATCATGAAAAAATGAATTTTATGTAGGTAGAATTTGGAACAATAGGCTCATCATGTATTTTGGATTTTTCTATATATTTTTATGTGTGATGCAGAGTCAATTTTGAGCAGTTTAGGAGGAGCTGATACATACCACCTGGTATGTTGATTTCAAGTCACATTTTGTGCTATACCTTGGAAGAAGAGATAAAGACTAACTTGATTTTGCTTACGTGAAAACTGTTTCATCATGTGGTCTCCTGACTATGATTATACTTCCGAAGTCATCTTAAATTTGGATTCTTCATCTGTAATTACAATGTTCTTAATGTCCTTCTGATCATATTCTTGGGAAAACAAATGGCAGCTCCTTGAGATAGCATTAGCTAATTTTTTTCATTATTTGTTACAGTCCTTGTGAAACATTTTTATATCCCTCCAATCCTATAATGGCTGATTAATGAACATAATTTTCAGTAAACCGGAGATTAAATTTTCCATTTGCAAAGCTAGGTAAGTAGGCTTACAGTTCGCTTGTAGTCAGTTTGCTGGACTGAAAGTTATACAGCAATTTAGGTATCATATATAGCAGTTCATATATGATCAGGTATTGCTGGATCATAAGGTAGTTCTATTTTTAATTTTTTAAGGAACCTCCATACTGTTTTCCATTGCATCTGGACCATTTTACATTCCCAGCAACAGTGCACAAGAATTCCAGTTTCTCCACATTCTCACCAACACTTGTTATTTTCTCGGGTTTTATTTTTGTTTTATTATAGCCATCCTTACAGGTGGGAGGTGCTGTCTCATGTTTTTGCATTTCCCTGATGATATGTGATGTTGAGCACCTTTTCATATTCTTGTTCGCTATTTGTGTGTTGTTGTTGGAGAAATGTCTAGTCCTTGCCCATTTTTTAATTAGGTTATAGGTAGGGTGGGGGGGGTTGCTATTCAGTTGTAGTTTCTTATATATTTTAGACATTAAACCCCTTATCAGATACCTGGTTTGCAAATATTTTCTCGCATTCCATAGTTTGCGTTTTCATTTTGCTGATTGTTTGCTTCACTATGCAGAAGATTTTGAGTCTGCGGTAGTCTCACTTGTCTGTTTTTGCTTTTATCGCTGTGCTTTTGGTGTCATATCCAGGAAATCCTTGCCAAAACCAATGCTGAGAAGTTTCCCTCCTGTGTTTTCTTCTAGAAGTTTTATAGTTTCAGGTCTTTTGTCTAAGTTTTTAATCCATTTTGAGTTGATTTTGTGGATGGTATAAGGTAGAGGTCTAAATTCTAATCTTTTCATCTTTTGTTTTGGAAATCCAATTTTCCCAATGCTATTTGTTAGTCCAAACCTACCTTTTCCTCTGAGTACACTGGCCATACTAGACTACTTCTTACTATAGTTTATGCGTTTACACCTGTTGTCTTTTCTTTTTTCTTTTTAGTTTATTTTTGGCTGGGTTGGGCCTTCATTGCTGCACAAGGGCTTTCTCTAGTTGCGGTGAGTGGGGGCTACTCTTATTGCAGTGCGTGGGCTTTTTATTGCGGTGGCTTCTCTTGTTGTGGAAAACGGGCTCTAGGTGCACATGCTTCAGTAATTGTGGCACATGGGCCCAGTTGCTCCGCAGCATGTGGGATCTTCCTGGACCAGGGCTCGAACCCGTGCCCCTACATTGGCAGGCAGATTCCCAACCACTGCACCACCAGGGAAGTCCCCAAGGTCAATACTTTAAATACTATTTATTTATTCCTAAATATTGTCATTGAAATTTGTTTAATATTTACTAGGTATACAAGTTTTTCCCAGATATGAATAATTGAATCTCAGGTTATAATTATTTGTAAACATTTAGGCTTTCCTACAAAACTGAAACTCTGTAAAATCTACAAATCTTGAATGTTAACTAAGTCTGATATTTGTACATATATTTAGGTAGGAAATATTTTTAGGGCAGTTTCAATACCTACTTTAACAAAGTGGCATGTTAAATATATTTCACTTTTTTCTTATTACTCAATCTTAAATTACCTCATAGTTACTGATCAACTAAACCTGAAATTATTCTCAGAATCTAAAGATTTCTTTTTTGGGGTGGGGGAACACTTCTGACAGCATTCTGGGCCCCATCTCTATTTAATTTTGCATCTTTATTGCCAGCAAATTGCTGGGTGAGTTAGACAGCTAGTTAGACTTGAGCCAGTTCTGTAGATCTGCCCATTTCTTTTCCTCTGAAGATATGCCTGAGCCTGCTAATCCCAAGATTTATCTAAAGAAATGAATGAGTCCTAATTTAGGACTAAAGCCTTGGTTTTCTAACTCTGCTTTTACCAAAGAACTCTCTGTTGGAGGTAATTAAAACTAATTCAGTTAGTGATACTTTGCTGTCTCTTTTTTTATGTTCCTTGCATATAGGTTCCTGTGTAAAGATCACTATATGAACAAGGCGTGAATATCAGAGCAGCACCAGGGCATTCTTAGCTTTCTGGATTAATACAGTCATAATAGTATCAAACCTGTGTGTGTTCTAGTGTAATACTAGAGGAAACTTCTCTGGCTTTTGAGATAACAGTTTTTCTGGATTTGCTTCTACTCAACTTCTTTCTGAGACTTTTCTTAGTCTGCTCTTGCTTTGCCAGCACCATAAATGCCAGGTTCCAACTTGAGGATTTTTGTCTCAGTTCATACTCTAGTTCACATCCATTTCCATGATTTTAGCTTTCTGTCTATATTTGAGTCCCTTTCCTCAGCTTTCTTCTTCCAAGCTCAAGACCTTTGTTTTTAAATGCACACAGGATGCTGTTTTCTTATTTGTTTGTTTTGGCTGTGTTGGGTCTTAGTTGAGGCACGCGGGATCTTTTCATGACGGCACGCAGTCTGCTCAGGTTTCTCTCTAGCTGTGATGTGCAGGTTTTCTCTCTCTAGTTGTGGCACATAGGCTCCAGGGCACGTGGGCTCTGTAGATTGCAGCACATGGCCTCTCTCGTCGAGGTGAGCAAGCTCAATAGTTGTGGCACGTGGGCTTAGTTGCCCCGTGGCATGTGGGATCTTAGTTCCCCGACCAGGGATTGAACCTGCATCCCCTGCATTGGAAGGCGGATTCTTTACCACTGGACCACCAGGGAAGTCCACAAGGTGCTTTAAAGGTAAACCAGGCAGATGTTCAGCAAATAACTACCTTTTTTTAAATTTACATATAGTTGATTTACAATGTTGTGTTAGAATATCTACTTCTTAGAGAAACACTATTGTACAGTGAAATGAACATGGTCTCTGGATTTAGAGGATAATGTTCACATCCAATCCTGACATTTATATGAACCAAAACTAGTTATTTAATCTTTCTACTTCTCATGTGTAAATAAGAATAACATCTCTTAAAAATAATATCTAAGTCTTAAAGTGTTCACGCAAAAGCTTAATATAAAATTTTCAGCATTAAGTAGCACTCAACACCATTGGAATCCTTTTCCATCCCTCTTCCCATTCTCAAGCTTAATTAAATGGTGCCACACCCACTCAGTAACCTAAGCTAGAAACCTTGGTGTCATCTTAGGTTATTCCCTGTTTGTCATCTTCCAAATTAACTTTTTTAAATCCTTTATTTTTAAACAACTCTTAATTCCAGCTCTTTCATTTTCTCTCCCTGCATTTGGAATCTCTCAATTGAGCTATTATAATATTCTCTTATGTGTTCTCTTTAAAACTATTCTTGTCTCTAATCCATCTTTCATAAGTTATTCAAAGTTGTATTTTTGGCACTTACCTTGGAGTCCATGGCTTCTTGGCTTAAAATCCTTAAATGATTCCCTATAATCTACACTGATGAGGCCAAACTGTACAATATACATTTAAGCCCTTTTATGGATACAGCATAACAGTAGCTGACAGTTTGAACTTAGGTATTAGATATGAATTTGAATCATTCTCCATTTATTAGTGTATGATCTTAGGTTACTTAACCTTTAAGTCAGTCATTTCTTTCATTTATTCATTAAATATTTAATGAGAAAATGTGCACAAATTGCAAATAAATCATGAAGAATAGTACTGTACCTATGAATTCAGTAGCTTCTAGTTTACCATGAGTTATGGCCATATCTTTCTTTTTAGCCTCCATGTCACTTCTCACCACTTTACACTCTGACATCCTATTCTTTAGCCTTGTTCAAAATTTATGTATATATTGTCAGGGTCTAGGATTTGATTTTGCCCTGTTTACAAGCTAAAAGCTAGCCTATTATTCTTTAGTGGATGCTAACATAAGGTGTGAAACATCTGGGTTAGAGACAGAGGATTTCATTACTTATAGCAAACAGCATGGGCATCAGCCTGCCCACTGTTATCAGTGGGCATAATTTGTGTGACTTAAATTTTTTTTAAAG